TCGTCCACGCTCACCGCACCATGCGGAGATAACTAGTGCAACGGGAGCTAGACTACGGGCTAGGCACGGGGCAAAAGTGATCGTAGCGTTCGTTGGTTCCTTAGTCGTTTCCAAGTGCTAACACTGCTTGCTAGTTTCACTAGGAAAACATGACAACAAAATTTTAGAATGATTAGCATCAACATTGGCAACACTGACTACATCAGACCTAGCAAGGCTTGCTGGTCCACTGCCAGCGCAGCACGGTCGACCGCGTGCCAGCACAACTCGGTCGACCGCGCTCCAGCAGAGCAGAGTCACGGCTTGCCAACGTTGCAAGTCCGCGGTGCGCCAACGCTGCAGTATGTCGGCTGCACAGCGTCGCATCCGCGGGACAACGGTGCACCAGCTTCGCAGGTGCATGCAGCTGGTTGGCGCCCAACTCCCCGTCACATGCCCAGCGCAGACACTCCGCCCGTGACGGCGCCCACCAGCCACGTCGACCTCGGGATACCACCCCCGAGATCGCCATCGTAGATAACATCCCCGGCGACTTTCGCGTACGTCGCCCGGGTATCCTGGTTGACCGGGTATTTCGTGGTCCTCCCACGATTTCTCGGCCACCGCGGTCCTCCCGCGGTTTCGTGGCTCCACGGTCCCCCGTGATTTCGTGGCTCCCACGGACCACCACGATTTCGTGGCTCCCACGGACCACAACGATTTCGTGGCTCCCACGGACCACCACGATTTCGTGGCTCCCTCGGACCACCACGATTTCGTGGCTCCCACGGTCGGCTCCGCCCAAGCGAGGACGGGGCCAAGCACAACTCCCGTTGACAGGTAATGTGGTCGTCGACTGTGGCAAAGGCGGAAAGCTCGGGAAAAAGGTAGGGCCGTATAAGGCAGCTGAGAGCAGCAGTAGCAGGGGAGGAGTAGCGGGCGACTACAGCGTCATACAGGGCTTTAGCAGTCTTGTGCTGACCAAAGTGGGCGCGTTCGGCTAACGTTTAGTGGTTGCGAACGGCTAGGCAAGTAGCAGCGTCACGGGTAAGCTACTGTGAGCGAGTCGCACTGTCAGCTGTGTTGGGAGGGGCGAGAGAGGCTCCAGACGTGTGGTCAAACAACGAAACGCTGTCTCTAGAGTCGCTCAGTAGGTACAGCTGTAAGTCGTCGAGCCAAGTATCAAACTAGATCGCACGACCCTCTGGATCGAATGTGGGGACACTAAGAGTAGCCATAGCGGGCAGAGCAAGGTGGCGCGTGACAAGTAGGGCGACGCGCGTGCACTAGGAAAACGCTCAAGCAGGGTAGGGCGGCGCACGGCCAAGGAAGGGCGGCGCGTAGGGCAGGGCGGGGTAGCACAGCGGCCAGCAGGGCGCCTCGTGGGCAGGGCAGGACGGCGCGTGGGCCCTAGGGCGACGCGACGGGCAGGGCAGGGCGTCGCGCGGGTCCTAGGCCGACACGACGGGCAGGGCAGGGCGTCGCGCGGGTCCTAGGGCGACGCGACAGGCAGGGCAGGGCGTCGCGCGGGTCCTACGGCGACGCGACGGGCAGGGCAGGGCGTCGCGCGGGTCCTAGGGCGACGCGACGGGCAGGGCGTCGTGTGGGTCCTAGGGCGACGCGACGGGCAGGGCAGGGCGTCGCGCGGGTCCTAGGGCGACGCGACGGGCAGGGCAGGGCGTCGTGCGGGTCCTAGGGCGACGCGACGGGCAGGGCAGGGCGTCGCGCGGGTCCTAGGGCGACGCGACGGGCAGGGCAGAGTAGCACGCGAGCAGGGCGGCACGACGGGCAGGGTAGGGCGCTACGAACAGGGTAACGCACTACAAACTATTCGGTGGGCCCTAAAAAAATGTTCCTGGAACAGGACCTGCTCTGATACCATGTCAGAATCTAAACGAGAGGATGATGCATTGAGAATAGAACTGGGTACAAGTTCTAACCCTAATTGGGTTGTACCCCTTATGGGCTACCCCACTACAGCCTACATAACATAAGCATCATTATTGTTTGACAGAAATTTCAGGCTTAGTACAAGAAAGTTAGCTTAAAAATCAGTGTGGGGATAAAGTTTTAAACTTTTCAATCAGCCTCGGGGCCTACAACAACCCTGAAAATCAACGTTCAAACCCAAAATCAGGGTAAAATTCCTGCAATCTGAGGTCCTGACTACCACCAATAGCATACATAGCATACATGCCAGCGGAGATTTGGCTTGAATCAAGAGAATACACTTTTACGCTCACCAAACCAGTCGGAAGTCTTAGCCTGCTCACCAAACTCCGCTCGAAAGGCGGTAGAAGCAGCGAGCCTTAGTGTGCCCTTGTCTGCCACATACCTCTCCAGGGCGGAAATGGCGCAAGGGCAGCAGCAACTACGGTGCGGCGAACGGGCGGCTCGCAGATGGCGGCTGTTGCGGCAGTGGCAGCAGGTGCAGTCGTAGCGGTAGCAGCGGCGGCTGTAGCGGGAATGGCGACGGCAGCTGTAGTGAGAGCGGTAGTGGCTGTAGCGGCGACGGCGGCGGCAGTGGCAGAGGCGGCTGCAGCAGCAAGGGGCGGTTGTAGCGGCAGTGACAGCTTTAGTGGCAGCTCCAACGGCTGTAGCGGTGGCGGTAGTGGCTTTAGCTGCAGTGGCAGCAGCTGTGGCAAAGGTGGCTGCAGCGGCAGGGGTGGCTGTAGCGGTGGTGGTAGGTGTAGTGGCAGCGGCAGCGGGGTCAGCAGTAGCGGCGGCAGTTGCAGCGGTTGTAGCAGCTGTAGCAACTGGTGGCTGTAGCGGTAGTGGTAGGAGCGGCGGCAGCTGCAGTGGCTGTAGGGGGAAGGGGCGGCGCCGTCAGAATTAGAACGGAGGAATGATGGACTAGGTAGCAAGGATGAGTACAAGTACTACCTAACCCTAAAGTGTTGTACTCCTTAGAGTATGCCTCACTACAGCCTAGGGTTAACAAATACAATTTGACACACCCCCATAGGCAAAGTGGGGGATAGCAAATACAACGGACGGTCACAAGACTAGTTAAGCAAGGGAACAAAGCAAAGCAAAGCTCAGGGTGGATCTCAATATCACCACGCAGTCTAAGCACAAGCAAGCGGCCACAAGGCCAGTTCACATGCAGAGTTTTAAAAGCACAAGCATTACAATGATCACAACATAGCAAGAGCAAGCATACAGGTATTTAGATATATGGATCACAGTACAAGACAGAGTCAAGCAACCATTAGGTGAGGCGGAGTAGGCACAAGGCCTAGAGCAGGGCAGAAACGCTGATGATCACCACGCACAAGGGCCTTGGTTAAGACATCAGCAGTGTTGGCCCAAGAGGCCATGTAATCAAGGCGCAACTGACCACGCTGCTGCAACTCTCGAGCCAGAAAGTAACGCAGAGTAGTGTGGTGTGCTCCAGTATCTGCTCCTGACACAAGGCAATTATGGCCGTGTTGTCGACGTAAAGAACTGGAGGAGAACGAGGCCGCTCACCCAAGTCGGTCTGCAGGTAGGTAAGCCGGCGTAACTCCTGTGCAGCCATGGCCCCAGCGTAGATCTCGGCCTCAAAGCTGGAACCAAGCACAGAAGACGAACGAGTGGACCTCCACGAGACAGAACCAGAGCCGAGACTGAAAGAGTAACCCTGTGACGACCGCTGAGTCGCCTCGTCATCGGCCCAAGAAGCGTCGGAGGGTCCTGTGAGTACCACTGAACCCCGTCCTCCAAGCACGAGCCCCATGCCCGATGTACTGCACAAGTAACGTAGTACCCTCTGCGCAGCTGTCCAGTGCTCCTTCCTGTGTCGCCCGGGCGCGACGAAGCGAGCAAGGATGCTGAGAGGGTACGCGAGGTCAGGTCGTGTGCACGTCATCAGGTGCATGAGGCAACCCACAAGTTCTGGATACGGGCCACTCGGCTCTACAGACTCGTCCGAAGGTGGAGTTGAGAGTGAGTGGCCTGTAGGTAGAGGAGTGCGCTGTGGCGAGCAAAACTGAAAGCCGAAGCGCTGAAGGACCTGGTGCACCATGTGTGACTGAGTCAAAGTGATGGTGTGCCGTGCTAGGTCTCGGGTGATCTACAAGCCAAGATAGCAACGCAGCTCACCCAGGTCAGTACAAATGTGTCTCTTCTGCAGCTCCGCCTTCATAAGGGTCAGCGCCTCAGTGTCGGCAGTAGCAAAGACCAAGTCGTCGACGTACACGAGGATGTAGAACGACGGCAGAGTAGGGTCGGTGCGCAGAAACAATGACGGGTCAGCAGTCGAAGGTGCAAATCCAAGAGCCGCAAGCGTCGTCCTCAGTGTGTCATGCCAGTTGCGGGGTGCCTGGCGGAGGCCGTAGACCGGCCGCCGGAGGCTCCACTGGGTACCTTCAGGAAACGACCCAGTGAAGCGAGGTGGGCGGCGCAGGCGGATCTCCTCGTGAAGGCTGCCCTGCAAGAAAGATGTGGAGAAGTCGAGGGAGTGCAGCTCGTAGACACGCTGTGCTGCAACGTGCAATAACACCCGAAAAGTGGTCATCTTTGGCGTGGGGGAGAAGGTCTAGAAAAAGCCGACCCCCTGTCGGTGACTGAAGCCTCGAGCAATGTAACGTGCCTTTAAGGCAGGAGGAGAACCCGGCGGCCGCTTCACTCTGAAAATCCACATGCAATCGACTATGTTAGCCCCAGGAGGGGGAACCTCGTCGACGTAGGTGCCTGTAGATTCCAAGGAAGCCATCTCTGCGTCCATCACTGTCTGCCACTGGAGAAGTACTCACCCGTGATCGCCTCTGCGTAAGAGCGCGGGGTGGGGATGTCCAGTGCATCCGCGTCTCCCTCAGGGCAACGCAGCATGGACGCGAAACGGGGTAAAACGGTCGCGAGACACTCGAGCTCAAACCCCCGTAACTGCCTGCAGGAGGAACCTGTGTAGAACATCCCTTGAAGGGGTACACCTGGCGCAGCAGAAGACGGCAGGGGGGAAAGTGAGCAGGAGGAGGCGAGAGAGAGAGAGAGAGAGGAGAGGAAAAAGAGAGAAGTACGAAGGAGGAGGAGATAAAGGGATGAGGCGAGGAGTTGAGGGGGAGCCACCTGTGTCGAAACCCTCTTACTAGCCCCCTTCTACAAAGGGGGAGGTGAGAGAGTGATGAGGAGAGGAGGTGGGGGGGAGCCAAGCGCGGCGAAACCCCTCTTACTAACCCCGAAATTCCCACACCCATTCAACCACCCCCCCTTAACCTCACCCCCCATAACAGCCGCCCCCTGAGACCGCACCCCCTTCCCCCCTTTCTTCCTCCACACCCCTGCCCCACCCACGGCAGTCCCTGCAGAATCCTTACCGCCACCCCCTCAGCCCCCCCCCCCCCCCCCTCCCCAACGGCAAAAGCGGGAGGGAGCGAGAGGAAGAGGAGGCGGCAGTTCTGCTCCTTCTCACGGCGGCACTGGCGGGGTCTCTGCTGGCGGTGGCACTGCTGGCGGGGTCTCTGCTGGCGGTGGTGCTGCTAGCGGGGTCTCTGCTGGCGGTGACGCTGCTGCCGGGGTCTCTGCTGGCGGTGGCGCTGCTGGCGGGGTCTCTGCTGGCGGTGGCGCTGCTGGCGGGGTCTCTGCTGGCGGTGGCGCTGCTGGCGGGGTCTCTGCTGGCGGTGGTGCTGCTGGCGGGGTCTCTGCTGGCGGTGGCACTGCTGGCGGGGTCTCTGCTGGCGGTGGCGCTGCTGGCGGGGTCTCTGTTGGCGGTGGCACTGCTGGCGGGGTCTCTGTTGGCGGTGGTGCTGCTGGCGGGGTCTCTGCTGGCGGTGGCGCTGCCGGCGGGGTCTCTGCTGGCGGTGTAGTGCTGGCGGGGGTCTCTTCTGGCGGTGTCACTGGCATTGTCGCTGGCGGTGTCGCTAGCGTCGGTGCTGGCGGCAGTTGCTGGCGGGTCCGACGGCGGGTCCGTCGGCTCGCTTGCTTGCGGGCTCGAGGGTCCGTTGGCGAGCTCGCTGGCGGGCTCGTCGGCGGGTCCGTAGGGGGATCCGTCGGCGGGTCCAACGGCGGGTTTGTCGGCGGGCTTGCTGGCGCGCTCGTTGGCGGGTCCGACGGCGGGTCCGTCGGCAGGTTCGCTGGCGCCAATGCTATCGCGGGCGACCGTCGCTAGCGCTAGCGACCGTCGCTGGCGGTCTGAATGGCCGGTGGTACGCTCGCCACTGGTCGCTGGCGCAATCGCCACAGCTCGCCGCCTTCCTCACCACGTGCAGAGCGTGACGAGCGAGCTACGGGCAGAACGCGACGAGAGATCCGTGGGGCGCGACATGACGAGCGCGATTGGTGGGCCCATAAAAATAGGGGATCTTACTACCATGTCAACGAACGAACGTAATCTAGGCGACGGGTTTAACTAATAGGCCTAGGCTTAGTAGCCTAGGCCAAGCGGGAGTCGAGAGAGTTGTGCCAAGGAGAATATCGAGAATGAGATGGTTACACTATAGCACACAAGGTACATATAGCAAAATGGACAAAGGTGCACCACCAAAAATTAAGAACTACACTACAGTAAATCCTACATGTAGTTATATAATAGAACATTATAATTATAATGTCTGACAGTAGTAGCAAAGTCGACTAGCTCAGTGACTAGGGCAAACGCAGCAGTAGACTCAAAGGAAGGATCAGTGACAACAGTAGCGAGGAGACAAGTGACAGTATGACTAGCAGTACGAGCAAGGTCGGACTCAAGGTCAGAAACGTCAGGAAGAGAGGACACCTGAGGAGACGGCAGAGGAACACGCTGTGGAACAGAGGAAGGAAAAAGTGCCATAGTGTGTGTGCCGGCGACAGGTGGAGGACGAGAACGACGAGCACGACTGACAGTGCGAACAGGGGAGGCAGGACGAGACTTGCCTCACGATGCTCTGCGAGGGAGCCTGTCTGTGCAGGGTAGGGAGAAGGAGCAGGCAGTGGAGAGCCAGGCAGTAACTGTGGTTGGTCGGCGGAGGACACAGGAGAGGCGGAGTAAGGCCAGTGGAAGACGGAAGACAAAGATCCTGACAAAGTGTCGAGCCAGGTGGTGGTAGGGACGACTGCGGCTGCGGGTAGAAAAACGGTCAGCGCGGTGCATTACCCATACCGTCAGCAGCTCCAGCACCTCCAGCACCCCCAGCTCCAGCACCTCTAGTTCCACCAGCTCCAGCACCTCCAGCACCAGCAGCTCCAGTACCTCCAGCACCTCCAGCTCTAGCACCTCCAGCACCAGCGGTTCCAGTACCTCCAGCACCTCCAACTCTAGCACCTCCAGCACCAGCAGCTCTGGCACCTCCAGCACCAACAACTCCCACACCTCCAGTACCTCCAGCTCCAGTACGTCCAGCACCAGCAGCTCTAGTACCTCCAGCACCTCCAGCTCTACCACCTCCAGCATCAACAGCTCCAGCACCTCTAGGACCTCCAGCTCCAGTTCCTCCACCACCACCAGCTCAACTACCTCCAGCACCTCCAGCTCTACCACCTCCAGCACCAACAGCTCCAGCGCCTCCAGTACCTCCAGCACCAACAGCTCCAGTACCTCCAGTACCTCCAGCTCTAGCACCTCCAGCACCAGCAGCTCCAGCACCTCCAGTACCTCCAGCTCCAGTGCCTCCAGCACCTCCAACACCAGCACCTCCAGCACCAGCACCTCCAGCACCTCCAGTACCTCCAGCTCCAGTACCTCCAGCACCAGCAGCTCCAGTACCTCCAACACCTCCAGCTCTAGCACCTCCAGCACCAGCAGCTCCAGCACCTCCAACACCAGTACTCCAAGCGCCAGGAACCCTGCCCCGCCGAACAACCCAGTCGCGAAGCTCCTGCAGCGAGAGGGTCTCCTGTCGAAGAGACTGCTACTGCTGTCCAACGCCAGAACCCCCAACAGGAGCACCCACGACTCCACCACGATGCAGCAGCCCCAGTATCTGCACCCCCAGAACCGGCACCCCCAGAGTCAGCACCCCAAGAACCAGCACCCCCAGACTCAGCAACCCGCGGACCAGCACCCCCAGAGTCCACGCCCTCAGTGTCACCACCCCTAGCAGCGCCAGAGTCCACAACTATAGGCTGCGGAGGCGGCGAAGATGGCCAAGGCGGAAGGTCTCCAGGCGCGGGGAGCGGCGAGTGGCCGCCGCGTCGTCAGCAGCGGGGTCACCCCCCTCAGCTGGGCCAGAGCTGTCAGAGGAGACCTCCAAAGGCTCAACCAAGGGGGGTGGGTCGACCTGAGACACACCTGAGGGAGCAGGACCCTATGTCAGGAGGGGGTCTACCGGTGGGGGTCCTGGGACCGGGAAGAGGGGCGGCGGGGAGAGTGGGGAGGACACGTGCGGGTGGAGACGGTAGAAGCAAGACGCGGCGCGAAGCAGGGTGGTAAAACTGAAAACGTGGGCGCAGTTTCGGGCAGACCTCATCGAACGTTTCGAGCCAATTAATACAACCTACATGGCGCGGCAGCAGATACACTGACACAAGCAATACGGGAGTGTAGCACAGTACACGCAGCAGATGGAGCTACTGTTTAACCGCATTACTGACCTGACTGAGGGCGAAAAAATTCAGGCGTACACAGAAGGGTTAAAATTGGAGATTCGCCGGCAGGTCATCGCAGCGAACTACAATAACTACCGCGACATCGTGCGTGCTGCCGAACGATACGACGCTTTGACTCGTGGTCAACCCGAAACACGACGTTACGGGCCGAACCGTACATTCGGCACGGAGCGATCGGCACCCCCCACGTTCGCCGAACCGATGGATATCGACAAATTTTACGCGAAGCAGCAACCGACAAAATGCGAATTTTGCGGCGCAGCGGGGCATCAATTTTTGTCGTGCTACAAAATGAAGAAAGCACGTGCGGCACTGCTGGGCGTGAACAGTGGAGCAACCCCGAAGTAAAAAAACGGGAATCGCCAGTAGCCGCGGATCGACCTGGCGATTGCGTAAAGATCCCAAAAGCGAAAAAGGGAGACGACGTGGCGACTTCGGAGCGGGTGAAAAAAAGAGAAAATGATGGCGTGAATATAAAACGTCACGACCGGCCGGCATCAGGGAAAATCACCGAGGCGAATAGAGGCTCCGCGAAAAAAGACTCTGCACCGACCGGGAAACTCCAGCCGAACACCCACGAAAGTAAGAATTCGTTAAAAGTATCCTATAAAGATACTCTAACGAAGAATATTGCTTCTCGTGGTTTTCAAGCCTTTGAAAAATTCAGGGGAGATTTAGAGGCCAAGAAAAAGCCTTCAGAAAATATTCAGGTACCTGAGAAGTTGGGCAAAGTACTACGGATCGTAGAAAAGGGTCATAAGTTCCGTGGAGTTAATAGTTATATCTTTGATGTACCCTATGATCCTATTAATGAGACCCTCTTTGCCTACTCAGCACAGCAGGAACCACTACTCCTCGAGGTGTTATCCAAAGGACGACGCCTCCAGGCACTGGTGGACAGCGGTGCATCTCACCCAGTGTGTGACCGCGGGACGTTGGAGAAAATTGGAGAACCTTCCGAGGAGACCAAGTTCTCGGCAACAATGGTGGACGGTACAAAACTTCCCATCCACGGCAAAGCATCACTGCAGCTACACATAGGGGCGCTGAGGTGGAAGCCGACATTGCCGATCACGAACATCAAAGGGTTAGATTTCATCTTGGGGAGGGATTTTCTGAAGCGGTTCAACCCCGAGATCGATTGGGTCAACAGGAAGGTGTGCATCTACAATAACGGGAAGCGGAAAGAGCTACGAAGCTGGACGGACACAGGGGACGTTCCTGAAACGACACTGGCACGGTTCGAACAGACAGGGAACGAGAGTAACACGGGTTACTTAGCATTGGTTATGGCAGCAGCAGAGGAGGAGAAGCCGAACGCAGAGCTACCTGCAGCAGTGAAGGAGGTCTTGGAGCAGTACAAGGATATAATGCCCGATGACCTACCTGCAGGCGTACCTCCAGCACGCACCCACGAGCACGAGATCGTGGAGGAACCAGGTGCGAAACCCGTCTCACGTACACCATACCGACTGAGTCCGACAGAGCTGACAGACATGAAGAAGCAGATTGAGTATCTACTGGACAGACAACTGATCCGCCCATCCACCTCTCCCTACGGTGCACCAGTTCTCTTCACTCTAAAACCAGACGGCAGTTTACGGATGTGCATCGATTACCGCGCACTGAACAAACAGACAGTAAAAAACAAATACCCCATACCGTGATAAGAAACAAGGAATGAATGAACTATGAATGAATTGGGTACAAGTACTAACCCTAATTGGGTTGTACCCCTTATGGGTTACCCCACTATAGCCTACACAATATGCATGAGCTATAATATTCTGACACACCCCCATAGGCAAAGTGGGGGAGAACAAGGGGTCACAAGACCAGTCAAGCAAAGTAAAGCAAAGCAAGCTCAGGGTGGATCACAAAGTCACCACACATTCCGAGCACAAGTTCAAGGCCACAAGGCCAGTTCACATGCAGGAGTACATATATATATAAAGGCTAGACAAGCAAGAGCAGGTATAAATATATGTAACAGCACAAGCAAGGTCAAGAGGTGAGCAAGTGAGGCAAGGTAGGCACAAGGCCCAGCTGAGTACAGAAGCGCTGATGGTCACAAGGCGCAAGCGCCTTGGTGAAGATATCAGCAGTGTTGGCCTCAGAGGCCACGTACGCAAGACGCAGCTGACCACGCTGCTGCAGCTCACGAGCAAGAAAGTAGCGGAGAGCAATGTGCTTCGTTCTGTGCTCCAGTCGCTGCTCCCGACACAAGGCCAGCATGGCCTTGTTGTCTACGTACAGCACTGGAGGAGAACGAGGCAGCTCTCCGAGGTCAGTCAGCAGGTAGGTGAGCCAGCGAAGCTCCTGTGCAGCCATGGCTCCTGCGTAGATCTCAGCCTCACAACTGGAGCCGAGAACAGAAGACGAGCGAGTAGCCCGCCACGAAACAGAGCCGGAACCAAGGCTGAAGGTGTAACCCTGTGACGACCGCTGCGTAGCCTGGTCGTCAGCCCAAGAAGCGTCTGCGTGCCCAGTAAGGACCACTGGACTCTGCCCTCCAAGCACAAGCCCCATGCCCGACGTACTGCACAAGTAGCGCAACACCCTCTTCGCTGCAGCCATGTGCTCCGG